ATCCTGTAAAAATTGTCATCGTTTCCACAAAAGTATTAAGCAACTGTTTTCAACATTGATAATAATAAGAACCAACATTAATAATTGAGCACCAATAAAAATTGAGCACAATCAGCATATTAGAATTATTTCTCAAAGATCATGTGACACTGAAGACTGGAGTAATGATGCTGAAAATTCAGCTCTGCATCACAAGAAAACATTTCATTTGGAATAATGATAATAGTTCACAATATTACTGATTTTACTGTATTTTTGTTCAAATAACTGCAGCCTTGGTGAGCAGAAGAGACTACTTTCAAAAACATTTAAAAAATGTAATTATTCAAACTTTTTACCGCTAGGGTATGTAAATTTGTCAATGACAAGTCTGTGATGTGAACTGAGAGATGTTTTAGTTGTTCATTGGTGGATTTTATTCATTTTACTGGCACTTTTGCCGTAGGATCACTATTTAATGAAAGCATTATTTAAATTTCGAATGAAAAAACGTCTTCTAATACTAAACTGCAACTGCTTTTCATGAAGAAACCTTGACCAACATAAGTGGACAGCCGGGAAAACAATAAGGTTTAAGCATTTTTGTGCCCCTGTAGAAAGCGAAGAAAAAGAAGATCGCGAATGTGAAGCCTGCAGATCTGGGAGTGGATGTGAGCTCACGGCTGGAGGTGCTGAAGGTGGATGAACCTCCTCAGAGACAAGGTGGAGTCAAAGTGGAGACGGTCAATGATCTGGTGAGAAAACTGAAAGAGGCTGGAAGAATCTAGAGGAAGCAGATGCAGGAGGGGCGGTGCAGACTAACACTGGAGGTAAGAATGTAATATGATTGTTAAATGCACTCAATGACATTTCTCAAAAATGATTTGCACATATAAATGAAATGAAACAAAACGTGAGGCCTAGAAAAAGATATTGCATTTAATATGCAAAACGTCGCCCCCTATTGGATTAAATAAAATTACCATTAATAAAAATATCACGTAGTTCTACTTCTTAATAATATATATATCGTATTATCACTTAATCAGGTGAAAAGACATGATTTCTGTACTGTTTGTTCAGTTCTCAACCCATTTTCACATGCATTAATTATTTTATGCCTAATCCTGATTTCCACTTTTTCCACTCCTTTGCAGATTGTAAGTTAAATGACACATTTTGAATACTACTTTGTCATTAAAATGTTACAGTTTACTACATTTGACTGCTTTTAAGTGCATTAAAGCTGATACATAAATATATAATTTGAAAAAAATGTATTCTTATTTTGTGAAAAAACTGTAAGTGATGGAAAGTTTTATTAAAGGGGTCATATGATGCTGCTAAAAAGAACATTATTTTATGTATTTGGTGTAATTAAATGTGTTTATGCGGTTTAAAGTTTAAAAAACACATTATTTTCCACATACTGTACATTTTTGTTTCTCCTCTATGCCCCGCCTTTCTGAAACGCGTCGATTTTTACAAAGCTCATCGGTCTGAAAAGCGAGGTGTG